TTTTTTTTTGAAATGATTCGATAATTAAAATTCCACTCCATCCACCATGAACCATACCATCAATTTCTGTCAACTTCCGACTAACCAAAATTATTTTGATTTCGGTTAACCAAATATGGCGAAAAAATAGGTAAAAACTTGCTGATTCAACTTCTTCAAAGACACTTTTTATTTCATCAAGGAACCCCTCCCATTTTGAAGCATTAATTTATCGCTATTATTGACGTGTAATCAGATCAAGCTTTTTAATCTTTTCTCATTTTTTGAACATTAATTCACATTTTCAAACTAAATTACAGGGTTTCGATGATTCAATTGAAGATTGTTTGTCTGGTAGCATTTAAAAATGTTTCATTTTTGTTTTTAAGCGATTTTTTATGGATCATTTGTTGGATTACTTTCATTAAATGCAAAGAAATATTCCTAATTAACACATACTGATCTCCTTTTAGTGAATTGATTTAACGGGCAATTTAACAAAAAGAGACCTAGTTTCAAAAGGACAATACTGTTTCAGATACCACCAGTGCTGCACCTTTGTCTGATGATGAGCTAATAAGGTAACTTATTTCAATAAATTTCCAAAACATTTTGTTAATTATCCCCCAACTCTGTATTCTTAACTTTTTAATAACTTATTGTCCAGGGAAGTAAGTTTCTTTATGATTTCTCTAACACAGAGGCGAAGTTGCGCTTCGCAAAACACTAGCAAGAACACAATAAAAAACAGCTCTATAAAGGGCATCAAGAGAAAGCAGAATAAGGCCTCGAATCAGTTAAACATTTGGCTACGTCTCGAATTCGCTCTGCGACCTAGAGATCATGAGTCTCGCGCGCTATCCATCAGCCTCGGGTGCTTAATAAACCACAAATAAAGCAGAGAACAAATGCTATGAAATTTCCAATGCTACAGGTCGCGATTATAGCAACAGTGCCATCAAATAAGGGAACACTTTCCACTTTCAATGAACACTTTTATTTTCTAATTTATTTAGAAACAAAGAAGGTTCGTACTAACACACTAACGTTCGAAAGTGTAATCATGTATTCAAAATAACTATGAATTCCCCTTCGTCAAAACAATAATGCCCACGCGATCCTCTTTTAAAAAAATTAAAAGAGAACCATGACACCAAAACATACCAAATTTTCTCCATTTTGCGAATAATTTTCAATATATTTTTAAACCACCCTTTCCTACCAAAAACCTGTAATAACCATATATTGCAGCCACACAAGATTTAATAGCTCCGCATGCGACAAAAAACTATCCGCGCTGAAAATATCAAACTTTCTCAGTAATTCTGAACATCATTGCGATGTACCCGCCCACAGGAATATGACAAATTTTGGAAAGCAGAAAAGACTCAAAAAATTGATAGATTCACTGAACAGCTAGCGCATCTTTTTGCAAAAACTAACTTACAAATTCACGTTTTTTGTGAAAACAAAAAACCTAAAGCTATCCAAAAAATTGATTATTCGCCTAATTAGAAGACACATGAAACTTGGCGAGTTATCTCAACAGAAATTATGAACATTCAAAAACCCTGCGATTACTACGGGATCGAAGTTGATCATAGGACCAGCCGACGCGGTGAGATTTTTTTGAGCTGTTCTCTTTTCGAACTTAACAAAATCAGAGTGTCATTTTTTCGCGAGTTTCGCGAACAACAGCAAAAACAGTTGATACAATTTCGAACTTGCTATCGGATTAAATCAAGAAAAAAGGTATTGGATTTCAGAGTGCTAAAGAAACGCTACGATTGCAGCTGGTTGACCATTTTCCGCGGCTGTTTTTGAGGATATCCAGAATGAGCATGAGGAGTACGAGAAAAATGTTGCTGTTGAAAATGCAATCAAAAATGACAAAAAAATGGATGCGGAGCTCACAGGTTAAATAATGCGATACAACACAGCGAGTAAAAGTTAAAAACTTTTACACATACAAACGAATTTTGTAGTTCAAATTCTAGACCCAAATTTTCCTAAATACTACGGTATGGTCACTTCAGACAACTGCATTCTATTATCAAAAATTCCCCATATGTAGAAAATGAACGCAAAACAAAACCAAAAGCTTATGCAGATTTATAATTTTTGGTACTTCGAAATTTAGAAAACTTTCTCGAAGTCTTCCACTTAGGAAAATTCTTTGAAGCTGAAAGCGCAATCGTAGACCAAATCGTATCACAAGTCAGAAAACTTCTGAAGTTTTTGGGAGGGTTTCTAATAATTAAAATTTCGATGACATTTCACGAAAATTTGTGCAGTACAACTAGCCGTGCGCATGCCAAATAATCGACGCTTTGAATAGTTTCCGGAAATAATTTTTTCAGCTGCGCTTTTGAACTCAAACAGGCGATCTTGCGCTTTGGTACAAATCGAAGAAACTAAAAATGCGCAAAAATTTATTCACAGTTTGAAAAAATTGTTTTCAGAAAAATGTTATTGACACTTCGAAAGCGCCATATGAAAACTCTGACGCAAGTATCATGAACCCAATTGACAGTTTATTTGTGTCCATAAATTTTAAATTTCAATTTAAATTGCCAAAAACAAACAAATTGAGTTTTGACGACGACTTCGATAAGCTTTTGTTGGAAATAGATATTGCCCAAAAAAACTGCTTCCAACTTCACTCAACATCGCGAAATATACTCGAAATTGGCAAAGTTATGAGCTATATTGGGTTTGCTACCATCTCCATCAAACGCAGAACGAGCTTTTTTAAAAGCCTTATTTTTTTTACTCAAAGCAGTAAAGAAGAATCAGCTCACGATAGAGATTATCAGCAGATTGATTTTGAAATAATTTAGAGGAAACTGGTAAAAAAAAACAGTCTCCAGAAAAATTTAAATTGCTAAAAAAAAACCTTAAAGTTTCGGAAAATTAAAAATGATGACAAAAATACTTACAAAGGCGAAGCGGAGCTTTACAACACTTGAGATGCACAAAAATTTGAAAAGCGAAGTTAAAAATTTTCAGAAGAATTGAGTTGATAGCATTACTTGAAAAAATAACTTGAAAGATGCAGCTACAAAAGCTATATGGTTGTATAAAAAAAGTTCATAAACAACCTGAATAAACATGAATATTAACTACCGGGCGGCAATAAATTTTTGGGTCAAAACCAGTTTGAGCCGATAACAAAACTGTTATCATAAAAAGTTTCACAGCTTTAAAATTTTTCACGACCCATCCAATCTGAAAAACAATCGCATGCGAATAAATTTGCTCTCGAAATTATGCAATACAATTTGACTGAGCCGAAACATAAATTGAAGCTGTTTAAACATTTAAAAAAAGAAACAGACTTGGTAAATTTACAAATTACTGAACTTTCAGTTATAGCAAAAGAATTTTTTTTTAAATTGGATTAAAACACATGCTCAAGAAAGCAAGCTAATAAAAAATCTATCAGATAAAATAGAGTTTAAAAACGGAAAATGGACAGACAGAAACTAGGGTGAAAACCACGAGCCCGAAAAAAAGTGAAATTCTTTTTTTAAAAAAATACAACTTAAAACGGGCTTTATCTAATTTTACAACTGAAGTTACACTAGTTTTATTTAAATTTTCAAGAAATTAGACTTCAGAAGATGATAGTGTCCACAATATGAAATGATCACTCTTTTGCCTAAATTTATTTACGGGAAAAAGTCTAGTACCAGATTGCAATACCCTTGCTCATCGCAAGGGTAATATTTCTGAAAAACTGTGCCGTTAAGCATACTTTTCACTAATTTTTTCAATAAAGTAATTCGAAATTGGGTATTAGGCTTTCTAAAATCTGATCTCGATCATAACAAAAATCTAGAAGTATTTGTAATCACAGTAACAAATAATTCAGTTTCTTTTTTTTGGTAGCTGGTTTGCGTTTTATGCCTCGAGGTTCTCAGAATAACTGCGGCTTTTCTTCTTACTCTAGATTTAATAATTCAAATCAGTAAGTTAAGCTATTTTCTGCATCCTGGTTTTTTCAGCACCGATAAAAATTCTGAACTTTTAAATTATTGATCGCACCGAGACTGAAAGGGATTATATATGATTTTTCTTGATCCCAACTACCTGATAAGCAGCATCAACCTATTCTTGTTGAAACTAGAAACAACATCATTATTCATTTTTCTACGATAAGCTGAAATTGTATGAAAGGCGCTCCTGCTGAACTTCACGACAGCTTTCCACTTGCCAAAGAAAAAGAACTGATAATATCAAGTCATATAATCAAAAAAACTCAAAGCAGCGCTGATCAACCCAATTTTCCTTCGTTGCCGGTAATACATGACAATACTTGAACAGCTTTTAGAATTTATCATGACCATGGGATTGTCAAAGGTTATCCCTGAGTAATGGTTTTTAAATTTCAGGTATTTTACTACTTATATTCCATTCGGCACTACTATGGCTTCCAGATTCACCGGACCCATGGAAGAAGCCATACCATACCACCCAACTCTCTACGAGTCGAAAAGAGCTTATGGCTTCAGTGTCGGAAAGTAGTAACACTCAAACTGTTTTTCGTCTAAATGTGATGATGCTTAAATATCTTACTATAGATCAGTGTCATTATTCTTCAGCGATGAATTTATTGCTACGATCAAAAACGGAAGAGCAAAATAAATTCATAATTCAATGCTAATTGGTGTATTGGTCGAAGGTACAATTTGGTAGATAATATGCAAAAATAGGACTTCAGTGATAAGTGAAACTTTGAAGACATAAGCCAACGGGAATCTATCAGAACACTTTTTAGTAATAATGCCATTTAGGAAGTTAGAAACAATATATGATCTCTTTTTTTTTTACAATAGATGAATGCCATGAAATGGATACGTATGCAATTCAAATTGGAGGACGGATTTTTTTGTTCTTTAAACAATATCTTTAAGAACCGCCTTTTTCAATCAAACAGCTGTTGGTCTATGATTCTATATCAAATTCGTAAGCTTCTGCAAATTTAATTGAATAATAGGATTTCATTCAATTATGCCTCCAATATGAAACTCAAAAAATATCACACGAGAGCACTTTTAAGATGAAATCTGTTAATTATATCTAGAGAAAAATGGACCTTGATTTTTAAACATCAAAACTTCTATCAATCTGAAACAGAAGTGATGTAAATAGATCCGATAATGTGATCCAAGTTAATTTTTCAGAACCTAGTAACAATTTCCCGCATTATGGCACCTAATAACGAAACTTTATATAACGAACAATTTCAACACTTAACACAAAGATTAAACTTTAAAACAAGCCCTTTTTTTGCCACAGGTAAACTCTAAAAATATAGCCAACATTAAGTTGGAAAAGTGTCAATAAATTCAAGGACAAAAAACCGAAAAAAAAGTTTTTTTTTCAAAAAAATTTTGGACACAGGCGAACTGCGCTTCACAAAAATCGCGAGAACACGACAGAAAGCAGCTCTATAAAGAGCAATAAGAAAAGTTGAAACAAGCATCGAATTAGTAAAAATTCGTCTAGGTCTCGAATTCGATCTGCGAACTAGAAATTATGAGTCTCACTCACTAATCACTCAGCCACGGACGCTTAATTACTCACAAACACTAGCCACAAATAAAGTAGAGAACAGATGCTATGCAATTTCCAATGCTACAGATCGTAATTATAGCAAAAGTGTCACCAAATAAGCCAACACTTATAACGAAAACTTTTATTTGTGAGTTGACTTAGTAAAAAAAGAAGGTTCGTACTAATAAAATAACGCTAGCAAGCTGGCTTGTGTAACTATCGAAAAAAAATCGATCACTAAAAACAAGCCAGGCTCTTCTACCGTTTCTTTCTACTATGGCTATTTTTTAGTCCTTAAACATCATTTTTACAGCGTAAAAAAGCCAACTGACAGTTGGAAAAGATTAATGAACGCAATGAAACAGAAAACAAAACTAAATTTTTGAAAACACTTCAATCTTGGAATTTTACAAAAAAAAACCTATGTCCTTGAAGCTCTTTGAATTTCACAAAAAAAGTATGATTGTTGCTTGTTTGATAAATTTAAGCCAATTTGAGAAAACTGGACCAACAGTTAAAATGTATTTCGCGGGGAACTCCATTTACCAGATTCCATTGTTTCTATTCGAAAGTGGAGTTTGCCCTCCATTTAACAAAAGAAATGAAGTGAACTTAAAAAAATCTAAGTAAAAAAAATCACGAAGACCTGTATCAGAGTACTCACCGCGTTCATTACTCTTAATCATTTATTTACGAAATTTTATTTGAGAACAATGTGTTTTTAACTGCGGAATGCATTCACGTGCCAATTTTCATAACAATTAGACTACGTGGACAAAAGTTGGAAAATAAGCATGGCCGGTGGAGGGGAAACGGATGAAAAGGCACATACCCAAATTTAGAAAACTGTGGGTCAAAAGCTATTTTTCAAATTCCGTTGAGAATTCTGAAAATTTAAGTCTTCTTTTTTGAAACAACGACATGCATTTTTTCGCGTTTTTATTATTACAGAGCGTCAACTGCCTCCTTTCAGCAAACTAATTTGGACTGAAATAAATCAAAAGCCAAATCGCAAAAATTCAAAACTGAGCGTTTCCTGAAAAAAATTACGACACCTAAATCAATGTCTTCATTTCGCTCATCGACACTTGATTGATCCGTTTTTACCAATCTACATTTTAGACACACTCTAGAAAGGTCATAAATATAGCTTAAATACTCTAAGCAGACCATTTGTACTCTACGAATGAATGAATGGGACATGAAGCTGAGTACCGACTAGTGTATTTACAAAATTAGCTACAGAAGTTTTCATGGTTAGGTTATGTTCAATCACATGGACACAGTTTTAACTTAATCACTTTAAGCCCGCCAAAAAGTAATTCATCCCGATTCCTGGTCTTGCTGCTCCTGTTGTGCGGCTGCTGCCAATTTGTAATGGTGTCTCCTCAGATCTCCTAGTTTTGTTCGTTCTCGTTCGACACTTGCTTCCAGCTCCATCAGTTTTATCTAACGAATATAATCAATTCATAGATTCAGAACACAAAGTTCTTCTCATTTTCAGAATCAGCAACTTTAAACAAATGTATCTACAGACATACAGCTATGTAGTTACACAGTCGCATTAGGCGCTAACCGCTACAAGCCTCGAGATAGGCGGCGCGGCGACAATTCGTCGAAAGCGACAACTGGTCCGAAGCTACAACTGGTACAGTTGAGGAAAGGCGACAATTCGCACCAAGCGACAAATAGAAGACATTCTCTCCCAGTGGCCAGGCGTTTTCGAGAAGTTTGTATCTCTGTTCTGGTAAGCATGTAACACTTATGATCCCGATTGCGCCATACCAGTTAAATCTTCCTAATTGTCGTCGATGCGAGTTATCGCTTTTTCAAAAAAGTACCTCATTACCGCATTCGACCAATTGTCGCTTTCGACTAGTTGTCGTCTCAAAGAGATGGGTCGCCTAGAGCAGGTTGTAATTTGAAGTCATTATCCAAGGCTTCGGCACCTTAAAAGAAACAAAACCACGGATAAAATTCATTTCCCATTACTTACATGCGATTCCATCTCTTTTTGCTTGGCTTGATGCAAATTCAGACTGCTGAAGTCCATCAAAGCTGAAACAAAAACATAGCAAACTAACAATTGGAAGAGAGTAATGAACGCAAGGAAACTTTTTTTTCAAGAGCCTTCAACTTTTGAATTTCGAAGAAAAAAATAGACGACCTTAAAGCTCTTTGAATTTGTAGAACAATTTATGATGGACACTTTTTTGTTAAAATAAACCCAATTTGAGAAAACTGGATCAATACGTAAAAGTTTTATTTCGCTGGGAAATCTGATAATTAATTTCCATTTTCGAAATCAGAAGTCGATCACGTTTTTCGTGATCTTTACAATTTTGCTAATTTGGACTGAAATAAATCAAAAGCCAAATCGCAAAAATTCAAAACTGAGCGTTTCCTGAAAAAAATTACGACACCTAAATCAATGTCTTCATTTCGCTCATCGACACTTGATTGATCCGTTTTTACCAATCAACATTTTAGACACACTCTAGAAAGGTCATAAATATAGCTTAAATACTCTAAGCAGACCATTTGTACTCTACGAATGAATGAATGGGACATGGAGCTGGAAATGCTCTGAACTTAAAAATTACAAGTCAAACCGCGAAAAAACAAAAAACTCAGCAAGACCTATATGAGTACCCACTACGTTCATTACTATTAAAAATTGGAAAATCAAATCTAGCAATCAAAAATCTGACCAACTCAAAACATAGCCAACAGGTTGTTGGAGGAAAGGTCACTGAACTCAAGGGAACCAAAAAACGATACTTTTTAAAAATTTCTTAAATAAACAGGCAGCAGGAAAATCTACCGTATTCCAATCTACCCTATCACACTATATCCTATACTCCAATCTACTCTAAAAATATATCATGTTCGTTAGAGATATTTCCATTTCGTGGATCTTTCATTTCGGACGCTTTTTTCATGAAACGACCTCAATGAGAGAAAACTGGGTCAAAATGGAATTTTTTATTCAGCCGAGAAATCTCAAAATTAAGTTCAAATTTGAAACTAAAGTCACTAACGTTTCTTCACGCCATTAACAATTTCGTTATTGTAGAGCCTAATTTGCCTTCTTTAGCAAATGACTTTAAATTGAATCAAAACTCAATCAAACTTAAGTGTGATCAAATTTTGACTCCAAAAAAAACTACACCCAAAAAAGTATTCGCTTAAGGAAGACCTAAAAAATTTTCTTCAGTCTGTCCATTGACACTTAAAAGTTGACAAAAAACTCCGGTTAAAATTTTTTTTCTCACAAAGATACAATTTTTCTACTTACGTGCTTCTGTGAAACAAATTTCACTATTGGCGCAACAAAGACATCAGCAACAATCATTGATGCCTTCAGAACAATTACTTCAGTAGTGAAAATGTACTCACAACTGTTCTCTTCCAAGCTCTGGGCTTGCTGAGTGGCTGCAATGACCTCTCCAGTGGAGGCCTGGACCTGTTTGGCCAGACTAGTGACCTGGTTGGCAGCCAGGACTGACTGAGGGGATGCCTGCTGCTGCACTTTTGTGGCCAGCACCAGATGAGCGATAGCTGAGACGATGCCCTTTGCACAAGCATTGATAGCCACGAATCGCCCACTGCCTTTCATAGCAGCGTCCGCAGTCTCGCTAAAAACATGTGAATTTTAGGAATTCACATTTGTTTAAATATCTCACTTGAAAAATATACTTTTTTTTCAAACAGAACCTTCAGATTTGATTCTATAGCCTACTTTTAAATATTTTTTCAAACTCACAACTTCTTCCGCTTATGTTTGATTACTTCAATGAACAAAACATAAACCAGATAATAATTATTCAGTCTTTATAAATACAGAATCTCTTACAGATCGTTAATTTGTTAAAAGTGTTTTTGATACGAACACAAGCATGTTAGCCGACAGGCCCAACGATTTTCCACCGGAAATCAGTCCTTCAGTCCAGGAAGAATTCTTAGCGTAGAATTCTTTCTTGTTAGAAGATTTGGATCGCGTGTCTACCAGCTCTTGTTGCATTGCTTTCACTGCTAACATCAGCTGCTTTATCAACTGAAAAAAAAACAGATCATAATTTCAACTGGCAACGGTTCAAGAATAAGTGATTTAAAATAGAGAGGATTCCATGTTATAATTCGAATTGATAACGTTTAAGAATCGATTGTTCATAAAGGGTTCATAACTAACTGTCATCAACTTGGAGCAGGATGCAATTAGAGATGAATGAACTTGAAGTTTAACTCCACTATTTTCCTCCGAATTCAGCTTGAGAAGATCCTGAAAAAAACTATAAATGAAGTAATATGAATTGAGAAACTCCAAATTTGTATACTTTAATTATCCGAGGACTTTCAGCGTATTTATCAATTTCTGCTATCAATTATCTATCAATTTATCTATCAATTTTTGCTATCAAGCTGAGACACTTAGCATAATTATCAGGCACTTAGCATAGTGGTAAGGCGTTCACTATGAAATCGTCAGATCGTGTATTCGATCCCATGCCATGGCAATGATAGTGTGTGAGGACAAGCTCTCACTTGACCTCCAGCTTCAAGTCTACCACAACCTGACCAGATTTGGCTGCAATAGTGGTACCACGTAAAAGTTCTAGACGCAAAAAAACGGCCTTGAGTAGCAAAAAACAGCTTCTCTCAACAAAATAACACTGTCCTGAATGCGGGGAGATAATACAAATGGAATATCCTCGAAAGGACTGTTAAGGCCTACTGATAGCTCCTCTGCGATTCGCAGGAACTACATTATTATATTCTATTTTTCTTCTATAGTTCAGTTTACAAAAAGCCAAAAATTTCAAATTGAATTTCCCCACCTGGAATTTGTTGGAGGCCTCATCCACCGCACGCGAAGCAGTTCTCATTTCGTCCTCTAGAACCTGTTCAAGGTCAATCTCCGCACCTTTTTCAACACCACTCGCCTCATCCTTCAGCTCCTATAGCAAACGACACACATTTCGATCAAAGTAAATTATATTACCTAAATTAGGTCGCCAACTTTCATGCGCTCTGTTCTCTATTTTGCGAAAACTAGTAAGTTTTGGTAAATTTTCTATGAAGTTCAAACCGTTACCTTAATACTTGTTCAGGAGTATTTATGCAGCTCATTTCTTATGATGTTCGCCAGTAATTAACTAGCTGGTGTCCTAGTGTGCATAAGTGTGACGTTAAGAGGGGATCGTATGACTTTTTGATAGTAGTTAGCTAGAACAAGAAACTGGCTAGCTCATTAGTCAGATCTTAAACCAAATTATACCTCTCGAACAGAAATAAAACCGTCACAAATGGAAGCACAAAGTGTTTCGATGCATTGCTATGAAATTAAAACGGAATTACATAACTCAAAACACAAACTAATCCAGGGATTGTATGCGCAGCTTAAACGCCGAGCAAGATGTCATGGAGCTGTACTGCTTTATGAACAAAATTGGTGAAATTATTCCCGGACTTTGAATGTGTCGACCTTAAACCGCAGCAGAAACTAATCCAGGGAGTGTATACGCAGCTTGAACGCCATGGCACGCCATGTCACGGAGCCGTACTGCTTTAAAAACAAAATTAGTGAAATTATTCGAGGACTTTGAACGCTTCGACCTTAAATCGCAGCAGAAACTAATCCAGGGAGTGTATACGCAGCTTGAACGCCATGGCACACCATGTCACGGAGCTGTACTGCTTTAAAACAAAATTAGTGAAATTATTCCAGGACTTTGAATGCTTCGAACTTAAATGGCAGCATAAAACTAATCCAGGGTTTGTATACGCAGCTTGAACGCCATAGCACACCATGCCACGGAGCTGTACTGCTTTAAAAACAAAATTAGTTGAAATTATTCCTGGACTTTGACTGCTTCGACCTTAAATCGCAGCAGAAACTAATCCGGAGAGTGTATACGCAGCTTGAACGCCATGGCACGCCATGTCACGGAGCCGTACTGCTTTAAAAACAAAATTAGTGAAATTATTCGAGGACTTTGAACGCTTCGACCTTAAATCGCAGCAGAAACTAATCCAGGGAGTGTATACGCAGCTTGAACGCCATGGCACACCATGTCACGGAGCTGTACTGCTTTAAAACAAAATTAGTGAAATTATTCCAGGACTTTGAATGCTTCGACCTTAAATGGCAGCATAAAACTAATCCAGGGTTTGTATACGCAGCTTGAACGCCATAGCACACCATGCCACGGAGCTGTACTGCTTTAAAAACAAAATTAGTTGAAATTATTCCAGGACTTTGACTGCTTCGACCTTAAATCGCAGCAGAAACTAATCCAGAGATTGTATACGCAGCTTGAACGCCAAGGCACACCATGTCACGGAGCTGTACTGCTTTAAAAACAAAATTAGGGAAATTATTCCAGGACTTAGAATGCTTCGACCTTAAATCGCAGCAGAAACTAATCCAGGGTTTGTATACGCAGCTTGAACGCCATTGCATAGCATGCCACGGAGCTGTAGTGCTTTAAAAACCAAAATTAGTGAAATTATTTCAGGACTTTGAATGCTTCGACCTAAAATTGCAGCAGAAACTAATCCAGGGTCTGTATACGCAGCTTGAACGCCATAGCACACCATGCCACGGAGCTGTACTGCTTTAAAAACAAAATTATTGAAATTATTCCAGGAGTTTGATTGCTTCGGCCTTAAATCGCAGCAAAAACTAATCCAGAGATTGTATACGCAGCTTGAACGCCAAGGCACACCATGTCAGGGAGCTGTACTGCTTTAAAAACAAAATTAGTAAAATTATTCCAGGACTTTGAATGCTTCGACCTTAAATCGCAGCAGAAACTAATCCAGGGTTTGTATACGCAGCTTGAACGCCATAGCACACCATGCCACGGAGCTGTACTGCTTTAAAAGCAAAATTAGGGAAATTATTCCAGGACTTAGAATGCTTCGACCTTAAATCGCAGCAGAAACTAATCCAGGGTTTGTATACGCAGCTTGAACGCCATTGCATAGCATGCCACGGAGCTGTAGTGCTTTAAAAACCAAAATTAGTGAAATTATTTCAGGACTTTGAATGCTTCGACCTAAAATCGCAGCAGAAACTAATCCAGGGTCTGTATACGCAGCTTGAACGCCATAGCACACCATGCCACGGAGCTGTACTGCTTTAAAAACAAAATTATTGAAATTATTCCAGGACTTTGATTGCTTCGGCCTTAAATCGCAGCAAAAACTAATCCAGAGATTGTATACGCAGCTTGAACGCCAAGGCACACCATGTCAGGGAGCTGTACTGCTTTGAAAACAAAATTAGTAAAATTATTCCAGGACTTTGAATGCTTCGACCTTAAATCGCAGCAGAAACTAACCCAGGGTTTGTATACGCAGCTTGAACGCCATAGCACACCATGCCACGGAGCTGTACTGCTTTAAAAACAAAATTAGTGAAATTATTCCAGGACTTTGACTGCTTCGACCTTAAATCGCAGCAGAAACTAATCCAGAGATTGTATACGCAGCTTGAACGCCAAGGCACACCATGTCACGGAGCTGTACTGCTTTAAAAACAAAATTAGTGAAATTATTCCAGCACTTTGAATGCTTCGACCTTAAATCGCAGCAGAAACTAATCCAGGGTTTGTATACGCAGCTTGAACGCCATAGCACACCATGCCACGAAACTGTACTGCTTTAAAAACAAAATTAGTGAAATTATTCCAGGACTTCGAATGCTTCGACCTTAAATCGCAGCAGAAACTAATCCAGGGTTTGTATACGCAACTTGAACGCCATAGCACACCATGCCACGGGCTGTACTGCTTTAAAAACAAAATTAGTGAAATTATTCCAGGACTTTGACTGCTTCGACCTTAAATCGCAGCAGAAACTAATCCAGAGATTGTATACGCAGCTTGAACGCCAAGGCACACCATGTCCCAGAGCTGTACTGCTTTAAAAACAAAATTAGTGAAATTATTCCAGGACTTTGAATGCTTCGACCTTAAATCGCAGCAGAAACTAATCCAGGGTTTGTATACGCAGCTTGAACGCCATAGCACACCATGCCACGGAGCTGTACTGCTTTAAAAACAAAATTAGTAAATTATTCCAGGACTTTGACTGCTTCGACCTTAAATCGCAGAAGAAACTAATCCAGAGATTATATACGCAGCTTGAACGCCAAGGCACACCATGTCACGGAGCTGTACTGCTTTAAAAACAAAACTAGTGAAATTATTCCAGGACTTTGACTGCTTCGACCTTAATCGCAGCAGAAACTAATCCAGAGATTGTATACGCAGCTTGAACGCCAAGGCACACCATGTCCCAGAGCTGTACTGCTTTAAAAACAAAATTAGTGAAATTATTCCAGGACTTTGAATGCTTCGACCTTAAATCGCAGCAGAAACTAATCCAGGGTTTGTATACGCAGCTTGAACGCCATAGCACACCATGCCACGGAGCTGTACTGCTTTAAAAACAAAATTAGTGAAATTATTCCAGGACTTTGATTGCTTCGACCTTAAATCGCAGCAGAAACTAATCCAGAGATTGTATACGCAGCTTGAACGCCAAGGCACACCATGTCACGGAGCTGTACTGCTTTGAAAACAAAATTAGTGAAATTATTCCAGGACTTTGAAAGCTTCGAACTTAAATCGCAGCAGAAACTAATCCAGGGACTGTACACGCAGCTTGAACGCAATAGCACACCATGTCACGGAGCTGTACTGCTTTAAAAACAAAATTAGTGAAATTATTCCAGGACTTTGAATGCTTCGACCTTAAATCGCAGCAGAAACTAATCCAGGGTTTGTATACGCAGCTTGAACGCCATAGCACACCATGCCACGGAGCTGTACTGCTTTAAAAACAAAATTAGTGAAATTATTCCAGGACTTTGAATGCTTCGACCCTAAATCGCAGCAGAAACTAATCCAGGGTTTGTATACGCAGCTTGAACGCCATAGCACACCATGCCACGGGCTGTGCTGCTTTAAAAACAAAATTAGTGAAATTATTCCAGGACTTTGACAGTTTCGACCTTAAATCGCAGCAGAAACTAATCCAGAGATTGTATACGCAGCTTGAACGCCAAGGCACACCATGTCCCAGAGCTGTACTGCTTTAAAAACAAAATTAGTGAAATTATTCCAGGACTTTGAATGCTTCGACCTTAAATTGCAGCAGAAACTAATCCAGGGTTTGTATACGCAGCTTGAACGCCATAGCACACCATGCCACGGAGCTGTACTGCTTTAAAAACAAAATTAGTGAAATTATTTCAGGACTTTGAATGCTTCGACCTTAAATCGCAGCAGAAACTAATCCAGAGATTGTATACGCAGCTTGAACGCCAAGGCACACCATGTCCCAGAGCTGTACTGCTTTAAAAACAAAATTAGTGAAATAATTCCAGGACTTTGAATACTTTGAATGCTTCGAACTTGAATCGCAGCAGAAACTAATCCAGGGACTGTACACGCAGCTTGAACGCCATAGCACACCATGTCACGGAGCTGTACTGCTTTAAAACCAAAATTAGTGAAATTATTCCAGTACTTTGACTGCTTCGACCTTAAATCGCCGCAGAAAGTAATCCAGAGATTGTATACGCAGCTTGAACGCCAAGGCACAGCATGTCACGGAGCTGTACTGCTTTAAAAACAAAATTAGTGAAAATATTCCAGGACTTTGAATGCTTCGACCTTAAATCGCAGCAGAAACTAATCCAGGTTTTGTATACGCAGCTTGAACGCCATAGCACACAATGCCACGGAGCTGTACTGCTTTAAAAACAAAATTAGTGAAATTATTCCAGGAATTTGAATGCTTCGACCTTAAATCGCAGCAGAAACTAATCCAGGGTTTGTATACGCAGCTTGAACGCCATAGCACACCATGCCACCGAGCTGTACTGCTTTAAAAACAAAATTAGTAAATTATTCCAGGACTTTGACTGCTTCGACCTTAAATCGCA